AGTAAACAAACAACCCCTAAATCAGAATCGGTTCAGGTTAAATACCATCTCTAGGTAGTAGGTACTTTTTCCATTATAACTAAAAGGTTTAATGCCTTGGGTAGCCCCTCTACTTTAGAAGAAATTTCAAATTAGTCATTTTACTTTTAAAAATGGAATAAGAATCGTAAACTAATTTAAAAATTATAATTAAATTGAAAAAAATTAAAACTAATTTAAATATTATAATAAAATTATAATATTAAAAATATTTAAAAATTTGAATGAGAATTATTTTACTTTGAATATATTTTTAATTTTATCATCATTAAATAAATTTCATATTTTATGATCGAATAATATTTTTTTTATATATTAAAAACTTGAATTTGAACAGACCTTATATATTGTCCTCAGCTTAATCTCCGTCTTTCCTTCCTTCTTCTCTTCCATCTTTCGTTTGCTTGATTTTCTTCAGAACAATGGCTTCTGCGGTTTCTTTGATTCACCTTCACGACCCAGAAGACAACGTCGATCGCCAAACCCCATCTCCCCTTCCGTATTGGTCTCACGATTTCCACTTCTTCTCCTCCTCCGACCCTGATATCCCTCTCCAAGACGACGACGTTTCCCTCATCATCGACGGCCCCGATCTCTTCGACCGCCGCGAGAACCAAGTCAACTTCGTCATCGATCTCTTCCACCAACGCGTCGACCAATCTCAGGTTCTTTCCAATTCCAATCCTGCTAACATTATTCGTAATAACATTAGCTATGATGACGAAATCAATGCCGTTGATTTGTTTTCTGATGCTTTAACCGAATCGGGTTTCGGTGTTATTGAGGGAAATCATGATCTAGATTTAGGGTTAGTGTTAGGGTTTGATTCCATGGATAGTAACGAAATTGAAATCGGTGGTGGAAATGATGACGGTGATGATTTTTTCGTGGAAAGGAGGGTTTCTCTGTTGAGTGCCAGTGAGGCTACATCTAATTTTAACGGCGTTGAAAGGTTTGGGAATGGTATTCGGAGTATTGGGTTCAACTCTGATTCGGAGAATGAGATTGATAATCGGACCTTGACTATTGAATTGAATTCTGGGGATGATTATGGAATTGATGATCATGTTAATGATTGTTACGATGCTGATGCTGATGATGTAAGTGTCAGTATTCCACTTCGTTGGGATTCGCTTCAGTTGGAGGATCATAGGGAAACCCCTGAAGATTTCGAGTGGGAGGAAGTGGATGGTAGGTTAGATGAGAGGGAGGTTTTAAGCGGGTTTGTTGATGGTGAGGAGGAGGAGGAGAATTCGGTTTCACTTTCGATTTCCCAGATTATAGCACCTGAAGATGCAGTTAATTTTGAGAGGGCAGTTGGGCTGGAGACTTTGGGGTGGGAGGTTTTGTTCAACACAAATAATTTGGAGACAAACCCTGATGTGGATGCAAATGATGAGTCATTTTTTGCTGACCGTGAGGACTATATCTATAATGGAGAATACGAAATGTTGTTTGAACAGTTTACTGATAATGAGAATGTATTTATCGGGAGGCCACCGGCTTCCAAATCTTTGGTTAAGAATCTTCCTTCTGTGGTTGCAACTCAAGAGGATTTGGTGAACAATAATGCACTATGTGCAGTTTGTAAGGATGAAATTAACCTAGGCGAAACGATGAAGCAGCTGCCATGTGCACATCGATACCATGGAGATTGTATAACACCCTGGCTTGGGATAAGGAATACCTGCCCGGTTTGCCGTCACGAGTTGCCCACCGACGATGCCGAGTATGAAAGGAGAAGGTCCCAAAGAGCTGGTGCTGCACCGTGATGGTAATTTATGATCACACGTGATTTTGAAGCCTTTTGTTGAGTGCTAGGTTGTTAAAAGAATGTAAATATTGTTGCTGTAGAGAGTCTCAGAATGTCTTTCTGAGGATCATGTCATTCTTTACAGGTTCTATAAGTATTTTATGCGTTCTTTTAAATCCTTCTTTTGGTATAAGATTGTTCAATGACTGAATTGTACCTTGAAGGTTTTTTGGTTGGAATAATTGTGCATTACTTATGCATTATCGACCATGCTTGTAATCGTTCCTCTGCACCGATATTCATTTGCTTTTGCATTTATACCATCCTAAGTACATGATCTCTGGGTTGTTTTGGTCTAATGTTTTAGTCTGTTTCCCCTCTGAAGTCTCTATTGATGTTTTTAGTTGCAGCAAATTGATTTCGTATATTGTTGAAAACATGGTATTGAATGTTATCATGTTGGATTATTGATAAGGAAAACCTTTGGCCCATACTTGATGTCTTCTTCTTGTTCCCATAGAAGGAAGGTTATGCAAATTTCCGGTTAGGAATTTTGTTTTATTAGTTATGAAATTACTCTCAGCGAGTGATTGTTTCATAGCATCTAAGATTGTCTTCTAATATTATTTTAGATTATAAAATTATCGAAATGTAACGTTACTTGGTGCGTTATATTAATTTCCCCCCGGAGAACAAAGCGTGTTTGAAAAATATTAAAGCTAGAATTTCTAGCATTTTATAATATTTTAAAATTATTTGTTTAAAATATTAATTTTCTAGTGTTTGTGGGGCTTTTGCAAAATTTTCAACATCTAAGCCGTCCAACCGCCCTCATTAACTGTTGGAGGACGAAAGAAATTTACAGGAAGTTGAGAACATGCACGCGGGGTATGTCACGCTCAATTTACATTTTTTTTTCAAATCATAAACATGTTTTATTTTATATTCATAATTTTTAAAAATTTTGATCATATAGGATTGAATAAAAGGCGGATTAAATTATCATCTCTATCTACACTAGTATGTACAGAACAATTAATTAAAATAAAAAAATTTAGATACGATCCCTAATGATAGAGTTAATTGCATCATATGCTCTTAAATTATGACCCTTGTTTTAAATTGATTCTTAAACTTGTGGATATTCTAATTTCATCCTCAAACTATGGCTCTTATCCTAAATTAATCCTTATATTTTAACATTCTAACGTCATCCCTAGAGTATGACCCTCTTTCTAAATTAGTCCCAAACGTTTAAATCTTTCAATATCATTCCTAACTTCATCCAAATATGTAATTAGCTTCAACCATAATTTAATCTAAATTTTATTTTATTTTCAAATATATAATAATATAACTTGGCTGATTTTATTAACAAGAGATGTGACTAATATATACGTATAATTTGGGAAGGGACTGATATATACGTATAATTTGGGCAGGGACTGATATATATGTATAATTTGGGATGAAATCAGAATGTTCAAGAAGTTTTGGGACCAATTTAGAATGAAGGTTATAGTTTGAGAATGAAATTAAAATGTTCAAAATTTTAAGGACTAATTTAAAATAATAATTATAATTTAAGGATGAAATTAAAATAATTAAAATTTTAGGGACCAATTTAAAACGAGGGTATGATGCATTTAATTCCTAACGATATGATATTGTATCTACACTATGCAAAATCAAAAAGCAATCAATAAATGGACCGCCCCGTTTACATTTTTTTCTCCCCGGAAAGAGAGATGGAAATTTAATTGGACCAAACATCCAATTTTCCCATCTAAATCTCCACTATAAAACAACTTCATACCATCCATCTAAAGTAAACCAAACTCAAACATGGCTACTGCAAAAGCCTAGCCATCTCTCATCTCCATCTCACTTAATATGGCAAACGTCCATTGCCAATATGTCACCAAACTGTGCTCCTTCCTAACAAAATCGGCTTCGCCCTCAGCCGATGCCGTTGTCGACCCTGAATCGGCTAACGAACTGGCTACATTGGGAGTAGACGATTCACAGCATTCCTTGGCCTGGGAAAAACAAATTGTAGCATTTTGTTTGGGATCTTCCATTGAAATAACCATACTCTTCGCCGGAATCGAGCCTCCTCGACGGCTCCCTATGACTTACAACTTGCTTTCCCTTGCAATTATGTTGGCTTTTACTTGCATCAGTGTTGCCAAATGTTTTATGAACTCCAAGTCTCGTAGGATCGCTCGAAAGTTGGAACAATTGAGTGGGATTTTCACGGTGGCTGCTTTTTTTATAGCTATCTCAATTCCACTTCCATGGTGGCTGCAATGCTGCACAGGGGTCTTGTTTCTCTCAACTTTACTCTGCAATCTGTTTTCACTCGGTTGAATTATGTAAAATTGTTATAGTTCGTTGCCCGAATTTTACTTGATATGCTTGTGGTCAACGACCTATTCGAAAATAATTACTTTTTTTTTTATAGAAAATATAATATCAATGAAAAATGTGGAGGTTCTCGATATATCAAATTTGAACCCAATGAGTTCGTTGGAAGTCAATAATTCTCGACTAGTTAGTTATAAATTTTAATTATATACATTTTTTATTTATGATTAATTACACTATATTCTGATTATATTTTGAGTTTAATTATGGAAATTAATTGATTGATTCTGTTTTAGTCACAATTCTTAATACTATTATTGGATTTAATATAGAACATTATTGTGTTCATTAATGGTAAGATTTGATTCGAATGCTTAGTGCGACATTTCGAATAAGTGACTAATTACTTAATAAAAAATCTATCTAATCTTAAATAGAGGGAAAAAAGTGCACCTTACCGTAAGAGCCATACTTGTTATGGCCTTTTCGAATAAGTGACATTACTTGGATATTGAAAATCGATCTTTTAGTTTATGGTAAAAAATATATAATTGGATGAAGAACACATTTAAATTGAAAGTTCGATAAGAATTAATTTTCATTATTTTTATTTTTTAGTTTCATTCATATAATTTATTTTGATAAACTAAACCACCTATTTCATTTTTATTACTTAAACATTGAGATTTAATTTCAACTCTATTGAGATTCGACCTTGATCTCACTATTATTATAAATTAATTTAATAAAATTAATTTTTATTTTGTAGGACTTCGACAACCTATCAACTAGATCCTTGATAATACTTTTGATGAACATGAAAGATTTGTCAGGAAATAAATATATTAATTGGCGGCTACATTCATTCACCTTATCAGCTTATATATTGCAAATCGTAATTCTAAAACTGACACAATCATACAGTAAGGATTGATATATAAATCCCAATTACAGACGTGAGAAGAGGACGACTTCTCCTACTCTTGAACATGTACTCCCAGAAACTTTTTCTTCTTATTTGCATCACCAATATCATCGGTTGATCACCGTCCGATAATCGAAAGTGGTTCTTTCAATGATGAACCCCTGACATTTACCTTAGATTGCAGATTGATTGAAGCTGTTCTTTGACATCATTTTGTGGCCACTGCAATGCTTCCCACCATATCTTTTCTCCTTCAATGGATTTCAGATTTGCTGCATTGCCTTTGTCAAAAGGTAGTGATTTCAGTTGAGGGCACTTGTAAACTTGAAGCTCTTTCAATGAAGGCCAAGCCGATGATTTATCGGCCGATAGACACCTTAGTTTCGGCATCTCGATAAGTATTACTGTCTCTAGATTTGGAAACGCAGTCGAATCTTGTCCGGCGATTAGCTCTTCTATCTCAATGCAGTTCTGCATTGCTAGCTTCTGGAGCTTTGAAAGTTGTTGGATCACCCCACTGGAGAAAAGTTTTCTCAACATGGGGCAACTCGAGACCACCAGCGTGTGCAATTTGGAGAGGCTTTCGGTCCAAAGGGTGCCCCAGAAAACGGTTTGCAGACTCTGCAAATTCGACAAATGCAATTGCTCTAGTTTCGGAAGGATGACTCCGCCTTCGACCTTGTTGCCGTCTGCAATGGTTGTCATTTTGTTACACCTTTCGATCAGACAACCACGAATCCGGTTAAGGCTAGCAATATTCACAAAATCCACCAGACTTGTGATATCTTTGTGTTCAATCAGTTCCAATGCATCAGTTTCAGGAAGCAGATCACAAATTATGGAGTTATCATTGCGGCTGCCTTGGCAATATCCCAAATATCGGTCGATCTTGTACTTAAAATACTTGAGAATTCGAGGACTTTTCCAGTTTTGGAATCCGACAAAGAACCGGAAGGAAGTTAATTGTTCCCGGTCCTTCCACGACAGACTGTGCTGCATAAATGTCTTGAGAACCTCTGATTTAGGGAAACAGATTCTGAGAGTAGTGAGATTCTTCAAGGTAGCCACCTGCCTCATTATATCCACAACCTCCTTGCACCATTGATCGTAAGAATGCACATCGATCGTCAATTCTTCAAGCTTGGCAAGCAATGGGATCACGTCGATGTCCATATTCTGAAAGCCATTGAGATTGCTAGATTTATAGTACGACACTCTCAAGCACCTTAAGTTCAGAAGTTTTTGGATATGAAATGGAATGAAGCATATCCTGCAGCCTCTAATATCGAGCACCTCGAGGCGATGAAGTTCTCCGACTTCAGGTGGCAACACTGTTAAATGGATGCAATTGTTTAAGTAAAGCCCTTTGAGACATTTCAAGTTTGCTAAAGATGATGGCAGTGATTCAATCCCAGTTTCATATAGATCCAACACCAACAATGTCTTCATATTCTCAAAGAAAGACTGGGGGATTTCAGTCAGAGTATAATTTCTCTGCAGTAATAGTGACAGAAGCATGCTACAGTTCGGGCTATTCGGCAAGTCTTGCATCTTCTTATCGATCATGGCGATCCTCTTCGATTGTTGCCAATCATTTTCTTCTAAGCAATCTGGTGAATTTTCACTCATTCCAGTGAAAAATTTACAATCCGGATCCTGTGACGAGATGTACAGTGCAACCTGTCGGATGCTGTTGTTCATCGACACGTAAATCATCCTTTCACCTTTCTCTAGCAATGACACATTAGTCAGATGCTTCAATGTGTCGTACCCTTCATCGCGTGCATCCTGGAATCTCCGCTGTTTGGTGCCTCCAACAAGCCCTTCAGCAGCCCAGCACTCGAGTAAATAGTCGGTATAGATCTTACTCTCTGCTGGATACAATGCACCATACAAGAAGCATTTTCTTTTCTGATCATCCTTTAGTTGATCATAACAGAACTTCAAGAACGAATGCAGTTCGGTTAAGCCGGGGATCTCAATCTCGGGCCATTTTTGTAGGTCTTTCAACCCTTTCCTCCATTCCGGGACACTATCTTTTGACTTGAAGGCACCTGCAATTGTCTTGATCAGAAGTGGGAGTCGAGCACACTCTTTAGCTACCTGCCGAGCAACCGGTTCTATATCAGGAAGATCTATAACTTCAGTCAGCATCTGCTTAAACATCATCCATGCCTCGTTTGGTGACAGCGGCCGGACCTCAACCATTCTATCCGCCATCGAAGAACATACATGACGGAACTCTGTTGTGAACACGACCTTGCTGCCATTTTTGTTGTCTGGGATTCCAATATCTTCCAACTCAATTGAGTCCATCACCTCATCCAGAAGCAGCAAATACTTTTTGCCCTTCAACTCTTCAGATATTGTTCTCGAAACATCCTCGGGATACAAAATGTCTTCTGTTTTTAACTTGAGCCGCCATGAAATATCCTCCTGCAGTTTCTCCTCACTCCTTTCACTACAGACATTCGCCCAAATGACGATATCAAACATTTTAGCTACTTGTTCATGGTTATTCAAGTTCTTCATTATTGTTGTTTTCCCTACTCCCAGCGTGCCCCAAATACCAATACCTTTCAATTTGTCGTTTCTCAACATCTCCAATACTTGCTCCAATGGCCCCTGCAGACTAGGAAACGCTTTGATCTCAGGTGCATTCACCTTTAACACAGGCTCAATAGGTTTATCGACCAAAATACCTCCAAGAAACTTCCCATCTTCCACAAGTTTCTGAATTTCTTCACACATTTTCTCCAGTTTCCCACTATAATTCGACCGTCGCTTGACATGAATGTATCGGGATGAAAGCTTGCAGTCTTCCTCGTATCGATCTTCCAATCCCTGTGCATTTTCAAGTGTCTTGTTGACACTGCGAAGCCACACATTGTAACTGCTTGTAGTTGTCTTCTTCATTTGATGTTTCTTGACTTCCCTTTCGTAATCGTACCTCAAAGCCTGGAGCTTCGCCACTTGGTTCTTCAACTTCTCAAAGTTTTTCTCCATACTTTGTGATAAACTGACTTTGGTTGTAGCATAATTAGTTATGTCTGCACCAGCTTGCGTCACGGCTCCGGCAAAACAAGAAGCTACTATGTTGTCTGCCATGGATACTGCAACAGAAGCAACAAGTTCACATGTTAACCAAAGTTAAATCCAAGATGGAACAGTCTTAAACAGTAATAAGCTCTTTCCTCTTTAACTCTCTCTGTGTTGGGTAGGGTTGTAAACGAGTCGGGTTGAGCTCGAATATTGCTGAGCTCAACTCGAAAAATGTAAAACTGAGTTCGACTCACTCGAAAACTCATTAGCTTAAAATTATCAATTCAAACTCAAAATAAAAAAATAAAAAATTGAAGTGAATATATAAACCCTATAACAAGTAGAAAGAGGGCTTCTTCTTCGGTTGAACTCTCTCTCTCTCTCTCTCACAAGATTCTCCTATATCACGAAGGTCACTGATCAAACATTAATTTATATTACCTATTACGATTCTCTACCTGAACCAAAAGAAGAGAACAGCCGACACAACCCATTTACTACCATCAACGCAACTTATGATGAATTATTGTAATAAGAACTGAAATTGCAAGCAACAGATCCCTGAGAAAACAGACAAGGATCATGGAATTATGTACCTGGGGATGACGAGTCCTCAACGATGGGAAACTGAGCTTCCTTTGTGGACTCCTCCTGGTCTTGAAAGCTGAAAAAATAGAGTCAACTCAAATCATAAATTATGTTGAAATGAGTTAAAAAAAAGAAGCTTAAAAAGCCAAAGATGAACATTACCCTGTTGAAGTAAGGTTCTTGCTTTCCTCTTTTGGTTCGGAACTTGGGTACTAACTGAATCTATTCCAACCAAAGAGAAGATGATGATCAAGCGATAGTTGAGGAACTGGATTATCAATTGAGTCCTCTTTTGCTTTCCTCTTTATTTTATCATTCATTATTCGGTAAGAGACGAAACAGCAAGGAAGGGGTGTGGGTGGGGATGTATACTTTTCTTAAAGTCGTTAAAATCTACCGACGATCTTTTTTTTTTTCTATTTTGAAATCTTGAATTAAAATATAATTTAATGTTTATGGATATTTTTTAACAATATCGATTTTTATTTGAAACTCGATGGTTAATATAATCAAATTTATTTATATTTATTTTTTTAATATTTTAATTAAATTATTAATATTTTTTATTTTTATATGATCTAAAGTGATTAATTTCTTATGTTAATTTTATAAAAAAAATCTAAAGTATGTATTTAATTTACATTGATAATTATAGTTTTATATATTTTAATACTTTTGTTAAAAATAACCTTCTTTTATAAAATTTTACTATATTTTTAGCTTTTTTTAATTAATTTTAAAATATTAAAATATGCAAGCCAAGTCTTCTCCATTATGTTTCAGCCCACCAGAGTCGAATTTTCCTTTCCCTGTGGGTCAGTCAACCTTGAAATTTCCTTTCAAAGAAGAGTTTCAAAAGATTAAAGGCTAAAATGGCTGTCTCCTTCAATCTCAACCACACCCCATTTCACCATTCACCAAATATTTTCTTGTCCAGCTTCTTTCTCTCTCTCAATATTCTTCAGAAAACTAACAAAGGGTCTTTGGGATTCAATAATTCAATCAACTGGGACTCCGAGTCTTACCCACAACTCACTGATTTAGTCTTCCTCCCTTTCTTTGCACTTTTCTTCCCTGCTGTCAGGCTTTTCCTAGACAAATTTGTCTTTGAGGTACTTCAAGTTTCATATTTTCTTTCGTAGTTGACCTATTGGGTTTCTCTATCAATTGCTTAATGACTCAATAACTCAACTTTGAGTTGAAACTTTCTGGCTTTTGAGAAATTGGATTTGAAGTTTGGTTGGTATAAAATAGCTACTAATATTTGTTGCAGAATTTGGCAAGGAGGCTGGTCCTTGGCAAATCCCACACCTTACAAGATGTTCAAAAGCATGACAACAGGAAGAAACTCAATAAATTCAAAGAGTCAGCATGGAAGTGTATCTATTTCTTTTCATCCGAACTTATATCTCTATATGTTTCCTATGGTGAGCCTTGGTTTACCAATACAAAATACTTTTGGGAAGGGCCAGGATAACAGGTTTGGCCTGATCAAAAAATTAAGTAAGCTCTTCACTCATGAAATAATATAAATGATTTTCCACATGTTAGGTTTCCTTAGTAGATGAAATTTTATTGTTCTTGATGCTCAGATTGAAGTTAAAAGCATATTACACGTATGCTGGCGGATTCTATACATACTCGCTGTTTGCTTTGATCTTTTGGGAGACTAGACGTTCAGACTTTTTGGTGTCCATGGTTCACCATATAGCAACTATCATTCTCATTGTTCTGTCTTACATATGCAGGTATTTCATGCAGTACGAATGCAGCACAGTTTCGGTTCTGTATTGTTCTTTAGTGGAGTTCACTTCTGATTGCATATGTTTAATTCTATGTATGTATATATCCTTTAATGCTTAAAACACTATGGCATTTGTTTTATCCATTACCCTTCTTTTCGATCTTTCTGAGGATTAATCGATGTTCTGTTTCCTTTTGCCTCTTAACAATTTCATTCTTCCTCTTGCAGGTTTGCTCGTGTAGGTTCAGTTACTTTAGCCCTTCATGAAGGAAGTGATGTGTTCCTAGAAACTGCAAAGATGTCAAAATATAGTGGCGTGGAATGGCTTGCTAGTGTAGGGTTTGTACTTTTTACCCTCTCTTGGACCATTCTCCGAGTGTTGTTATTTCCATTCTGGATAATATGGAGTACAAGGTAACCCTTTGTCTCAGCTTAACTGAAGCAATTTCAATATTTTTGGATATATCTTTGTATTTTGTGCCTTTGTTTACAACATCCTTCAGGAGAAGTATCGGTCTAGAAAATATAACTTGATTCCTTAGAGTAGATAAAGATTCTATAGAAACTGATTAATGGAACCGGTGGTAGAAACCATCGATTTGTAGATCTTAATATATCATTGTATTAGAACATAGCCGCATCATATATCCAATGTTGCAGATGCTCTTCATTTTATATTCTTAATGCTAGTGAACAGATGCAATACAATCTATAGAATTATATGTGCATTTTTGCTTTATGTATGGCCAGCACGGAAATAACAGCTATTGGGAATTTCCCTGTAACCCCCCTTTTCGGATATATCTCTTCCGCTTCTGCGTGATATTATTACTTAATTAATTTTCAAGTTTTTAGTTTCCCCTAGGCTGATGATTTTGCGGCTGTGAACCCAACTTTTGTAAGCTTTGACATGACCCTTTTATCTGATTCTGATCTATACGCTTCCTCTTTAAGTATTGTCATTGTTAACCTATGTTTCGGTGCAACTTTGCTAGGCATGCCATTAACGAAGGCCTTTCACTGTCATTGGAGGCTAACCCCTTGATTTCTTTCTTTTTATATCTTTTTTAATTTACTTTTGACAGCTATGAAATTCTTCTGACATTGGACAAGGAGAAGCACATGGTGGATGGATCTATATACTACTATTTGTTTAATACTCTTCTTTTATGCTTGCTTGTTGTTCATATTTATTGGTGGATCTTGATGATAAGAGTGATTAGGCGACAAGTCCAATCCGGTGGGCAAGTCGATGATGTTCGATCAGGTATGAACCGTCTAGAAATGCTTTTAGACTGAAGCTAGGCTTAGGAATAAAATGAAAGAAAAGTTTGAGCATGAATAGGCTAATTCCAAGGTTAATGAGAATGCACAATATCCGATAGTTAGACCAACAAGTGATTTATTAGAGCTTACAGAAGTAATATTCATGTAGAGAGCAAGGCCAAACACTTAATTCGGATAACTCTTTCTCGCCGAACATGGAACTGCATAGTGCATACCCTATTGTATACCTGTACTTGAATACCTATCCATAGGCATTTTTTCATGATCTAAGTCAAGTTTGTTTCATTAGATGCTGCTAGAAGATAACGCTCTTGCGAGTATCTTATTTGTATGTTGATCTCGCATTGTTTGTTTTCCACTTACAAATTCCTTGCTAGTAAATGAGACCTTTTGGCTTACTCAATAAATTATATTCATGAACATGTCAAGTTAAATTAAGAGAAGATGAAGTGTCTAGAGTTGATAAGAGTAGTTGAAATGCCAAAAGGTTGTGACTATTCATTGTATCACAATTATTATAAGGCATCCCTCACCCCTATGTAAAGAACTCTCGTACTCATCAAATAGATATACAAACACATCAATCAAAGTTAGAATTCTCTCTACTTCTTGTTTTCCTCTACTTTTCTCCATATTTTCCCTACTTTGCTCCAACAATTAGTATCAAGAGCCATATGGTATTAAGGGCCTAGAAATCACAAATAAACTCAAAAGGAATAGAGGTAAGGAAGAAGAAAAATCTGAACAGTTGAAGTATAGCTTCAACGTCAACGTCTTTCATATAAACTTCTATGCCATCACCTCTTATCTTCACAAGGGATAACTATGATTATTGGTGCATTAAAATAAAGTTTTTTCTTCAAGCAAGTGCATTATGGGAGATCGTGGAGACTGGTTACGAAGAGAAAAAGAAAGATATACAATACACTAACACAGAATTAAAAAAAGTTCAGCGATGACGAGATGAAGGATGCAAGAGCCATATCTCATATCATCAATTGTCTCAGATACAATTTCCCCCAAAATCATTAGAGCCTCTTCAGCAAAAGAAGTGTGGAGACTTCTCTAAGAGGAGTTCCATGGTGATAAAAAATTCTGAAATATTTGACTCAACATTTTGAGGAGTCAATATGATAACATGAAGATGAAGGAAAATGAGGATATCAAAGGTTACACTTCTAGATTCATGGAAGTTGTAAACCAAATGAAGATATATGGGGAGGATATCTCAGATGCAAAAATAATGCAAAAGATCTTAGGATATCTGGAGAGAAAGTTCAACACGATGTCCACCATCATCGTTGGATCAAAAGATGTAAAAAACCTCAGCGTGACAGAGTTAATGGGTTCTTTACTTGCCATGAGCACAAATTCAACAAGAATGAAGAAAACACATCCTCTGAAATTGCTTTTCCATCAAAGCAACAACAAAAATCCTCAAACAATAAGGGGAACAATTGAAAGAATCAAGGTGGTTCAAGAATAGGGAAGAAGCAGTCACAATCAAAAGACAAGTATCCTGCTTGTGGCATATGTAATAAAGCGAATCACCTTGAAAAATTTGCTATCACAAGGGGAAGTCAAAATGCAATTACCGCAAGAAATTTGGCCATTTGGAGAAAGATTGATGGCACAACAATCACATACTCGTATTTCCAATGAAGTAGAATACTCTTTGTTTTATGCACAAGCTTTCATCTCTAGTGGAAAACAAAGATAAGTGGTTGATTGACAGTGGGTGCACTTCTCACATGATAAATGATTCAAGCATATTGAGCAATCTTGATTCTTCAATTAAAGTTCCAGTTTGCATAGGGAATGCAGTTTTGGTAAAGTCCACTGGAAAAGACACTATTGTTGTACAAACAAAGAAAGGTACAAAATACATTAACAATGTTCTCATTGTTCCAGATTTGAATGAGAATTTACTTAGTGTTGCTCAAATGCTCAGAAATGGTTATTCACTTATCTTTGAAAATAACCATTGTACTATTATGGACCCGGAGAAAAAGGAGATTGTAAATGTCCCTATGGAAAAATAAAAGCTTTGTTTTAATGGGATTCTGCAGCAAAAAGAGCACATGCAACTCACTCGAATGATACATGGCTATGGCATAGGAGGTATGGACATTTCAATATGCGTGATGTTTTTGTGAACTTCACAAGAAAAATATGGTGAGAGACTTTCCTTCAATTTCCTTAAGCAATGATCTATGTGAGCCTTGTAAACTTGGCAAGCAACATAAGTTACCTTTCCCGAAGGAGAAAGTCTGGAGAGCGTCAGAAAAATTGCAACTAGTT